GAATGTGGGATGGGAATGGAGAGCAGGGAATGGGGAATGGGAATGTGGGACGGGAATAGGAACAGGAATGCGGAATGGGAATGTGGGATGGGAATGGGGATGGGGATGGGAATGGGAATGTGGGATAGGAATGGAGAGCAGGGAATGGGGAATGGGAAATGGGAATGTGGGATGGGAATGGAGAACGGGGAATGGGGAATGGGCGCGGCAGCCGCAGCTCGGGGCGGGGCCGGTGTCTGTCGCGACAGAGCCTGGTCGGCGACACCGGCAGGAGCCGCTCGACCCTCACCGCCGGCCGTGGGGTGGGGATGGAGAGATCGGGATCGGGAATGGGAAAAGGCGGGCTGGAGAGAGCCGGGAATCCACCCCGCTGCCCACACGGATGTTCCTGCCTGATTCCAGGGGCAGGAGCGGCACTGGGGGGGAGCCGCCCCCGCCTCCAGCCGGGATCCCTTTATCCCGTTCTTCCACAGGGATGAACCCTCCGGGAGCGGGATGCGAGCCCCCCGCTCCCATCCCCGTCCTTCCTCCCTTCAAGGAGCGCCAGAATTCCCTCCCGGATCGGGAATAGCGGCCCGGGAAGATCCAACCTTCTCTTCCCGCGACCTCCCGGGGACGCGCGGGCGGGACGGGGGGAGCCGCGCCTCGACGGCATCGCCGCCTCTCCGGGGCGGGGCGGGGGGGGTTGGGAAAGCGGGAACGGGGAGGAAAAATCAGCGGGGTTTTTTTGGCGATTTCCGTATTTTCGGGGGTCAGCGGCGGTGCGGGAGCGGCGGCTGGCGGGCGGCGCCGCGGGGTGGGTGGGTGGCTGGGCCGGGAGGAGGGGGAAGAGGCAGAAATGCAAATCGCTGCCGCTCGCTGGCAGCGCACAGCCCCGCTCGGCCCCGGCAGGAGCGGGGACAGAGGGAGGGGAGGTCCCCCCCGTCCTCCCCCAGGGCCCCCCGGAGCCCCTCGGGCAGCAGGAGGATGAGGAAGGGCTGAGGGTGGAGGAGAGGCAGCAGGGAGAGGGTGAGTGGCGGGGGACGAGGGGACAGGGGCGGTGACTGAGCGGGGAATGGGGCGGTGACGGAGTAGGGAGAGACGGGAGGGGGGAGAGGGAGGGGAGAGCCGGAGGGGAAGGGAAGCGGAGGAAAGAATTGGGGAAGGAGGAATGGAAGCAGAGGGGAAGGAAAATGGAGGGTAATTAAGTGGTAATTTATAGAGGGCGGGGGGGAATGGGGAAGGGAAAGGCTGATTGAGAAGGGAAAAAAGAGTGAGAAGGGTGGGGAGAGCCGGGTGGGAAAGGGGGGAAGGACAAACCTGATCCAGCCGGGAAAAAGAGAGCGAGAAGGGTGGGAAAAGCCGTCTGGGGAGAGGAAAGGAAAACCTGATCGAGCAGAGAAAAAGAGACTGAGAAGAGTGGGGAGAGATGGGTGGGAAGGGGGAATAGAAAAACCTGATCCAGCCGGGAAAAAGAGAGTGAGAAGGGTGGGGAGAGCCGGCTGGGAAAGGGGGGAAGGAAAACCTGATCGAGTGGAGAAATAGAGAGTGAGAAGGGAGAGAAGAACCGTCTGGGGAGAGGGAAGGAAAAACCCGGTCGAGCCGAGAAATAGCGAGTGAGAAGGGTGAGAAGAACCTGCCGAGGAGGAGGAAAGAAAAACCCGGTCGAGCCGAGAAACAGAGAGTGAGAAGGGCGGGGAGAGTCGGCTGGGAAGGGGGGGAAGAGAAAAACCTGATCGAGCCGAGAAATAGAGAGTGAGAAGGGCGAGAAGAGCCGTCTGGGAAGGGGGGAATAGGAAAAACCTGATCGAGCCGAGAAATAGAGAGTGAGAAGGGCGAGAAGAGCCGTCTGGGAAGGGGGGAATAGGAAAAACCTGCTCGAGCGGAGAAACAGAGAGTGGAGAAGGGTGGGAAGAGCCGGCGGGAAGGGGCGGAAAGCGGCGGAGGGGGGCGAGGAGGGGATGAGCGGGAGGCAGCGGGCGGCAGCCGGGGGGAGCCGGGCACAGACAATGGGGCGCGGCCCCGCCGCCTCCACCTCCCGCGGCCGGGCGGGGCCGGGCGGCGCCGGCGCTGAGCCTCGCGCTGTCCCCTGCCAGGGGGACATGGCCCCGCTGCTGGCGCTGCTGCTGGCGGCCCTGCTGGGCTCGGGCCGGGCGTGCCCGGAGCCCTGCGCTTGCGTGGACAAGTACGCGCACCAGTTCGCCGACTGCGCCTACAAGGAGCTGCGGGCCGTGCCCGCGGGGCTCCCCTCCAACGTGACCACGCTGAGCCTCTCGGCCAACAAGATCAGTTCGCTGCCCCGCGGCGCCTTCGCCGAGGTGACCCAGGTGAGCTCGCTGTGGCTGGCGCACAACGAGATCGCCGCCATCGAGCCCGGCGCGCTGGCCGTGCTGGTGCAGCTGAAGAACCTGGACATCAGCCACAACCAGATCGTGGAGTTCCCCTGGCGGGACCTGCGCAACCTCAGCGCGCTGCAGCTGCTCAAGATGAACAACAACCGCATGGCCGCGGTGCCGCCGGACGCCTTCCGCACGCTCAAGGACCTGCGCTCGCTGCGCATCAACAACAACCGCTTCGCCACGCTGGCCGAGGGCATCTTCGACTCGCTGGGCTCGCTGTCGCACCTGCAGATCTACAACAACCCCTTCGAGTGCACCTGCGCGCTGCGCTGGCTGAAGCGCTGGATGGAGAGCACGCTCATCTCCATCCCCGAGAAGGAATCCATCGCCTGCGCGCTGCCCGAGCGCCTCCGCGGGGTGCCGCTGGCCAGGCTGCCCGAGCTGCGCTGCGCCGCGCCCGCCGTCAGCCTCAGCTCCTCGCCCAGCCTGGAGGCGGCCGAGATGCCGGACGGCTTCGCGCTGAGCCTGCACTGCTCCGCCAGCGGCTCGCCGCCCCCCGAGCTGCGCTGGAAGATCCGCACGGCCGGACAGAGCCTGGAGCTGGGCGGGAGCGGAGCGGAGAGCGCGGCCAAGGAGGCGGCGCGGGCGGAGCCCGAGCGCTTCGTGGCCTTCAAGAACGGCACCTTGCTGATCCCGCGGGTGAGCAAGCGCGAGGAGGGCACCTACACCTGCGTGGCCACCAACGAGGTGGGCACCAACCACTCCTCGCTCAGCGTGGCGGTGGCGGGAGCGCAGAAATACCCGGCGGCGGCCGGCAGGGACCCGCTGGGCGGCAAGGCGCAGCAGGGAGACAAAAAAACCGGCGCCAAGGCGGCCAAAAACAGCGTGCTGACCCCCGAGGAGAGCGGCAAGGCGCAGGGCCCCACCCGGCAGAGCCGGCCCTCCCCGGCGGCGGGGCAGGAGCCTGAGGGCCGGGTCCCCGCCGAGCCGCCGGGGCTGGAGGAGAAGTGCGGCTCCTCGGCGGGAGACACCAAGTACATCTCCAACCACGCCTTCAACCGCAGCGGCGACTTCAAGCAGCACAGCTTCGAGCTGGGCGTCATCGCCCTGGACGTGGCCGAGCGCGACGCCCGAGTGCAGCTGACGCCCACCCAGCCCGGCTCGGGCCACCTGGGCGTGCTCTATCTGTGCCAGCAGGGCCGCCAGGGCCACTCCCTGCTGCAGTGGTCGCAGATCGAGGCCGGCGTCAACTCGTACTGGTTCCAGGGCCTGAGCCCCGGCACCAACTACTCGGTGTGCCTGAGCTCGCCGGGCGAGGAGTGCCGGGTGCAGGTGGTGTTCACCACCAAGAAGGAGATCCCGTCGCTCATCATCATCGTGGTGGTGGCCATCTTCCTGCTGCTGCTGGCCACGCTGCCGCTGCTGGGCGCCACGTGGTGCCACCTGCTCGCCAAGCTGCGGGCCAAGCCCTACAAGTTGATCGTCAAGGCGCAGAACCCCGACCAGATGGAGAAGCGCATGGCCGCCGACTTCGACCCCCGCGTCTCCTACCTGGAGTCCGAGAAGAACTTCGACGCCGGCGAGGCGGGCGAGGCCGAGGAGGAGGAGGAGGAGGAGGAGGGAGATGAAGAAGGAGCGCGGTGGCGGCGCGGGAGGGAGGGGGAAGGCGCGGCGGAGCTGGAGCGGGAGGAGAGCGTGGCCGCCAGCTCCATGGCGGAGTCGCAGTCCAAGGGCGGCGCCGAGGAGTTCGAGGTGCGCTCCGAGTACAGCGACAAGCTGCCCCTGGGCGCCGAGGCGGTCACCATCTCCCCGGAGATCAACGGCAACTACCGGCAGCGGCCCCGCTGAGCCCCCCTCCCGCCCCCCCGAGCC